CCCTGCCAGCCCCCCACAGCCTGCGGGGCTGAATGCAGCCATGTCCCCTGGGAAGCTCATCTTTTCAGACAGGAATTGGGGCTTGGGGGACTGGGACCGTGGCCACTGAGGGTTCACTCCAGCAAACAAACAGCAAATCCCACAAAAACTGAAGCAAAACTCACCCGCCATCTGGCCCGAGGGCCCAGCAGCCCGAGATGCGGACACTGGAGAAGGCAGGGGGGCTGCTCATCTCCCCCCAGYGCCGATCCAGGGGTGATCCTGGAGTGAGGGTGTCACCCCCTGTCCCTGTCCACACTTCAGCTCCTGTCCCACGATCTCTGGTACTACCAGGGTGTGAGGGAGGCTACGCCAGCGCAGCTCCCGGGGCGATTCTTGGGACACGGAGCCATGCACGGACTGTCCCCCTGGAAATGGCACTGAGGGGTCCCAAGAGGCCGGGATGACGCGGAGCCCCAGCAGATCCGGGGGCTGGAAGATGGAGGCAGGAGAAGGAAGCAGAGCCGGGGGAGTGTCTGTGCCTGCGAGCTGCGAGGCGGTCAGCAGCATAAGAGGATAGCTTAACCTCCAGATTACATTCATTACCTGATATTAATAGCACTGGCTTGATTAAAGAAAAAGAGGGGGGGTTGGGGGTGAGGTGGCACCTCCCCTCACCGCCCCCRGCACAGGCAATAAACACCGGCTCCGGTACCTCTGCTCCTGGGATTGGGGGTGTTTGGACATCCTGGAYGTTGGGGCTCAGCAGGGAGGGCACCCGGGAAGTGACATCCACGGGCACGGTGAGTTCCTGACACCACTGGGGAGGGGGCTGCACCGGGGCAGGATGGGATGACCCCAGGGCAGAGGGGTCCAGTGAGCACCCCTTAAAGCTGGTGGAGCAGCTGGGGCTCAGGGCTGGGGGCTGCTGGCCATGCTGGGCTTTTTGGTCCAGGACTTATCCCTGTCCCCTGGCTCCTACTGGAGGGGGGGACTGGCTGAGGGTCCCTGTGGTCACTCAGCTTCCCCAAGAGCTGCCCCTCACCGTCCCCTCAGCCTGGAGTAAACAAGTGGGTGAAACTCAACACCCCGGGGCTGCGGGTGGCTAAGAATARCATCCCTCTGGCTGCTGTGCCCGGCCCTCGCTCCCTCGGCACCCCGGGCCAGCTGCCCCTCGCCCTCCCGGGCCAGCCAGCTCCTCTCCTGGCCACAGCCTCACAGGGAGAGCAGGAGATGGGGCCAGCAACGGGAAAAGACCCTTTCCTCCTTCTCCTAGAGCCACCAAGGTTATTCCAGAGGCAGGGGACACACACAAACTGCCTCCCAGGGTCCTCAGCAAACCCCTCCTGAGCCTGGCAGCGCCAGCACCTTCCTGCTCCTGCTCACCAAAAGGATCTGCAGAGCAGGTCTTTCACCCTGAAAGATGGAATCCTGATGGGAACCAGGGATGAGGGGCTGGTCCTGAGGAAGGGGACAGGGACAGGAGGGTTTTGGGGTACCSTGTCCCCAGCATGAGCTGCAGCTGCTGCCCAACATCAGGGAAGCAGGCAGTGATCAAAGGAACTTTTCCAACCCTGATCTCCACCCGGACTCCCCTCTTGCTGTAAAAGCTCTCTCAGAAGTTTAAAAATAAAATTCTCTTCCGGAGCCATTTCTKTTCCTTCTCATTAAAGAAGCAAAAAAGCACAGGGACGCGGGACACGGCGTGAGGAGCCCTCGCCSAGGGACATTGTTCCTTATCGCGTGCTCCTGCCACCACTTTTCCTGCCTTTGTTAAAACCTCCAGGCAACAGGAGCAARTCTTCCAGCATCCCCCTGACATTCCCACTGAGTTCCCAGGTGGGACACACCGGCTCCAAAGGCCAGCAGTGACCAAGTTTTCCTCCTGGCAAAAATCTCTGCTTTCCAAGCCCCTTCCTAGTTGCTGAGCTCTTGCACAAGTAGGAATTCCAGGGTTTTGGACTTGTTTCTTTCAGGTGATTTTTAAGAGCAAATTCCTCCTCTAATGGCAGACTTAAAATGGGGGGGAAGAGGAAAGCAGGCATGAAAGTCAGGATCCCTTTTCCCTTCCAAAGATGGCAGCTGCTGGGTGGGTTTCCCCTGGGATTTAAGGATGGAAGCCGGACTGCATGTGGATTTTCCCGGTTTGGTCACAAATATTGTCACTGGAATCGTGTAATAGCTGCAGAAACACCAAACCCACAGTGAAAGATGCCTGTTCCCAGGAGAATGTCCTGTTCCCTGGAGAATATCCTGCTTCCAGATCCCACCCTGTGAGCGGGTTCAAACCTGGTTCATTGCTGAGCTGGGCTTTGCTGGGGTGGATCTGTGTATGCCAGCCCCTGTCGAGGAAAGGGATGGAGGAACCTGCCCATGCAACGGAGAAACCCCCACCAAGGGATGGAGGAACAGAGCCAAGGGACAGAGGAACAGAGCCAAGGGATGGAGGAACACAGCCAAGGAATGGAGGCACACAGCTGAGAAATGGAGGAACATGTCCAAGGGATCGAGGAACCTGTCCATGGGGTGGATAAACCTTCCTGAGGAACGATGGAATCTGCCTGAGGGATGAATGAGCCTGCCCAAGGCATGGAGGAACCCAAGGGATGGAGGGACCTGGCTGCCACCCCACTGCCAGGTCATGCCCATTCTGGAAGACAAGGAATGTCACTCCCAGTTTACCCAGCCTTGTACCAAGCTCTGTCCTGGCCAGAGCCACCTGGAGCCCGATGCTTCATCCCAGCAGCTCCATGCACAGGAGCTCCCTTCCAGCTCTTTTACGGTCTCTGCTTCCTCACCACAAAAGGACAAACATTTCCCTCTGCAAACCCAATTATCCATTGCTATTTATATCGAGCGGGTGGAGGGGGCTCTGTTACACAACCTGGTTACGCATCCCTCACTCGGCCGGCACAACTTGGGGAGACACCTTCCTCTCATCCTCATCCTCATCCTCATCCTCATCCTCATCCTCATCCTCATCCTCATCCTCATCCTCATCCTCCCCACTATCCACCACTGACTCACAGGAAGGGCACAGGCAGCAGCCAGCAAAGGATTTAGCTGCTGGAACATGCARGATGGGAACATGMRGGATGGGAACATGAGGRATGGGAACATGAGGGATGGGAACAGGCTTTGGCACTGACTGTGGGGTTGGCCAGTCGATGCCGTGGGGTGTTGGTACCCTACAACCAGGAACACAGGGATGTTCCATCCCTGTAAGTTTTGCCACATCCCAAGCACACCAGTGATGCTCCAAATATCTAACTCCCAGATATTTGATATTTAGGAGCATTCAACCCTCTCAGTCTCTGAGGATTGTGCTGGAAAAGGGGGTGGCAAATAGAGGGGAAACATGAGTATGTGTGTGGGGGAAGCAACCTGTATGGGTTTTTGGGGTGGAAAGTTTAGCTTGTCCCTCTCTTCATCTTGATGGAGTGGATGAATGTGCCAGCAAGCTTGGGAAAAGGGAGGCTGTGGTATATCTGCTGGAAAATTACGGGCAAAACCCATAAAATAAGGGAAATAAGGGAAAAGGTAACAACGTAAAAAAAAAAAAAAAAAAAAAAGGATGAAAATAAACAAGGCATAAAGCGGGGGTGGGAAGAAATAGCTGTTTGGTGGGAAAAACGAAGGGATTTCATGGAGCGATGGGCTCGGGGAGGCCCCACTCGCGGAAGTGGCATCGCGGGGGACGGCACCGCCACCGCAACGCCCCGGAGCCGGCGGGGAACGGGAACCGGCGGAGCCGCGGCGYCGGTCCCGGCCCGGAGGGGCTATCCCGGCGAGAGGAAAGCGGGATCTTACCTGTCGAGCGGTGGTGCCGGAGCCCCCTCGGGCACCGGGGCCGCGGCCATGGTGCTGCGGAGAGGCGGCGGCGGGCGCGGAGCGGCGGGGGCGGCGCTGCCGCGGGGAACACCGGGACTTGTAGTGCGGAGCGGGGAACGGGGAACGGGGGGTTCGGGGTGGTTTGGGGTGCGGGAGGGGGCTGGGGGGACAGACGGGTGGTTTGGACACCGGTGGGTATCTGGGGGGCAGATGGGTGATGGGGAATGGAGCGGTGCTGTGGTCATGGGAAGTGCTGTGCGGGGAGATGGGTRTTTGTGGGCACGGCGGGTGCTGTAGGGAACAAGGGGTGGTTTGTAGGGTCCCCTGGGTGTTTTGGAGTGTCGGTGGGAGTTTTGGGCATGGAAGGATGCTGTGGGGCTCAGAGTGGTCCTGTGGGTATCTGTGGGTGTTATGGGGCACATGCACAGGAGCATCCCCGCAGGCTGCAGCACACAGCACCTTTCCCGCGGGGCAGCGGGATTCGGGTGACCCCGGGCTCCGACAATGTCTCTGAGCACTGCGGACAGCCTGGGGGGAGCCCGGGACCCCCCTGTCGTGCTGCCCAACCCTCTCTCCGGGGTGGGATCTGGTTTCACTCGCTCCCATGACGCCCGGGCTCCCCCGGGGCTGAGCTCTGCGGTACCAAATGTTTGGGGTGGGGGCAAGGCAAGCACGGCTCCCGGGGTCCCCACCCGCCTTTGGGGAGGCGAGAGCRCCCGTGGGGAAAGGCTGCGTTCTCAGCCAGCAGAGAGATCAGTCTAAATCTGTCCCTGTCTTGGGTTCAGCGCCAAAAAAGCCATTAGGGAGCAGAAGAGGATTTATTCCCACGCTGGGAGAGCCGCGGGGTGGCCCCGGCTCCAGCAGAGCTCTCCAGAGAGGAGAGGTCCTGGGCTGGATGTGGCGCCCGGGGCCAGGAAAAGCTGCGGATGGGATGGATGGGTTGGGAACAGCTCCAGGGGGATTTCTACAGTGGGAGCAGGGGGGCAGCTGGGCTGTGGGCACCAGGATTGCGAGCTTGTGCCGAGTGCTGCTGCAGGAAACATCACCTGTCCTCACCTTCCCAACCTGGCTTTGGGGTGCCCCACGCTCCAACCCCTCAGCCCCTGCCACGAAGAAAGGACAAACCCAAACCCACGGGATCCCWAATCCAACCCTCCCACCAAACTGCCCAATAATGCTGACGACAGTGCTAATAAAAAATCAATAACCATTTATTCGATACAGCTGTTTCATACATACAGTACAGGGAGCGCCTGGGCGCTGCTCGGAGCTGCTCGGACAGTACTCTCCAACTGAGGATTTGTCATTGATTAACAAAAGAACAGATCATCACAAATCGGGAGTTTATTATAAGATAGTTTACCGTTAAAACAATTTTATTTTTTGCAAATAAACACTTTTTAATATATATATTTATATATTTATATATATGGTTACAAGTGATAAATTGAAAATTCTTTTTTTTTTCCTTTTTTTTTCTTTTTCCTGTTTTAATTTTTTTCCCCAAAATACACTTATGCACTAATAACTGGCATCGACGAGAAACATTCGGATATGCCATGGGATGGGTGTCACGAGGAGAGAAAGAAAAGAACAAAATGCTCCCAAGGTTCCTGGGGAAGAGAGATGCTCTAGGCCCGGACAGCTCTGTCCACTGTGGCCGGAGCTGGTGTGGCACAGCGGGGTCAGTGCCGAGGGTTCCCCCACCACGGCAGCCYCCCACAATCCAAGTTTTCCATGAGGTCTTCCCACAGGGTTGCAGTCCATCCCTGCTCCCATGCAGCTTTAGCCCTTTCCTTGGGGACACAGGTGATGGSATGGTGGGTTTCCCCAACGGTGGAGGTGCGGGACCACAGTGACACTGTGCCCAGGGTGACAAAATCCCCAAATCACATGGGTAAGGGGATGGAAAGGGACAGGACAGCTCGTCCCCCATCTGGTCCCGCAGCCTCTGCCTGTCCCTCTGGATTGAGGTGGTTTCCTTTCTGGCGCTGCCTCGCTGGAAGCACCGGAAGGGGCACAATCTCCTGGCCCCCAGCAATGCCACTGTGGTGTCACTTGGCCCTGCCCTCACCTGTCATGGCACTGGCAGCTGCTCGTGACCCCAGCACTGCTCTGGAACCTTCCCTGGACAAGCAGGAGGGTAAAGGGTGTCTGATGGAGAAGGTGAGGGGAACATGATACCCTCTGAGTGATGACTAGCAGGGAAAACACTTCTTTAGGACAGAAAAAATCCCTGACAATTTCACCTTCTCGTAGACATTCACACCTGACCACMGTGCTGCCCTCACTGAGGGCTCTGAGGGTGACAGGGACAGTGCCAGCATCATGATTGCTGCTCCCCCTGCCTGCCCTGAGACCCYCGATGGTCCCTGGGGTCCCCTCCAGGCTGCTGTCACTCTGTGAGGCYGCTGCTCCTGTCCCTGCTCCTGACYGACACTCTCATTTATGGAAGCTGAGTGGGTTTTGATCTGGACCCCATGATGGCCCCCTGAGCCGGTCCTTTCCCGTGTCTCCCCAACCCTGAGCAGATTCCAGGGCTCCCCCCACCATGGAGCACAGTGCTGCCTGGCAATTTAATCAGTGACAAGCCAATTAATTGCACGTTAATGAGAATGGAGTCCCAGGCCATGCCCAAGAGCAGACAGTGCAGATTGTRTGGTGACCATCCAAGCCAGCAGCCCGGGCTACCCAGATCTGCCCTCCCTAGGCCAGGGCACGGAGCTTTCCTGGGAGCTTTCCTCAATGGTAGGACATGACCTTGGGATCCAGTGCCTCCCTCTGCCCCTCCACAGAGATTTCTGTGCCAGACCCACAGCTCTGCCCGCTCTCCCCTTCCTGCTGCTRCCTGGGAGCTGCTCCAAGCTGTCCTACAGCTCCCAAGGCTCTCCCCRTTCCCCAGGGAGGCAGGATCTACCCCAGTGACACCATCCAAACACAGATCTGATGAAGTGCAAGCAGMGACCAGGCTGAGCCGCAGTGACTAATTAAGCTTTCTCACTAATTGCCTCGAGGCCCGGCACAACCAGCAATGCTCAGGCAGTTCCCTCAGCTGCAGGCGCGTGCCCGGCTCRCTGGGCAATGCAGATGGTGGATCCAGGTGCCAGAGCTGTGGACAGAGCAGGGACCCTGGCTCCCTGAGAAGCCACCCTGGCTTTGGCCACAACTGTCCCCCCTCTCTGGCTGGAATAACCCACCAGTGGAGGACGTTAATTATGATTGAGCTGCTGCTCAGAGCAGGGAATGATCCTGAGCCTCTGGTGGGCGACAAGGAGCAGTGAAGGAAAGCAAGGATTGAGGTYTGAATTGATTAAAGCAAAAGCAGAAGCTCCCCCTCTGATGCCCCTTCCTGGCTCTGCATAGGGGAAAAATCGAATTTAAAGTTTTCTGTTCTGTTACTGAGAGGAAACGTGCCCGCTTCCCAAGGACCGAGGTAGCCTGGTTTTGTCTGGAGACGGACACATCCCGGTCCAGGTTGGAGTGGGGTGCGATGACGGTGTCAGCACAGGAGCAAAGAAAAGCCCGGGGCAAGAGCACGAGCAGGGGTGGCACCACAGGGAGTTGCCACCCCGAGGGGGTGGCCAGGGGCTCAGACGCATCTTTGGGAGCAGACTCCCCCCATGGTGGGTCCCGGCCCAAAAGGACAAGGGGAGTGTGAGGTGTCTGGGCAGCAGCTGGGCTCATCCTAAAGCAGGACCTGTGATTGTCTCTCAGTGCTGCCCCYGTCCCTATCACACACCTCCTGGAACCACAGCTGGGGAGCTGAGACCCCATTCCTCTCTCCTGAGTGATCACCACCACTGGGATGGAGCACAATGAGACCCTGAATCACCCCTGGATGCCCTCAGGCCGAGGGGACAGYTGCCATCTCCCCCTGACAGTGGCATTGCCATCTGTCTCTGTCATCGCAGCGCTCCATGCCCGGCAAACACAGCCCAAGCACCGAGGCACAGCTCCCTCACTGCACCCCTCCATGGCTGCTCTGCCACTATCCACGGCACCCACACCATTCCCACAACTTTCCATCAAACCCTCTAACCTGACCAGCCCCAGACCAGCCCCTTCTCCTGCTCACACCTCCCACATCCTGAAGCCCTGTGCCCTGCTCCCTCCTGCGCCTCGCACCACGCAGACAAACCCTGACACGCACGGAGCCGCTCCCTGCCCAACGCGCTTCCCCTCGACCGGCGGCGCAGGCAAAGCGCACCCAACTCCCCCCACCGCAGCATCCTCCACTGGACCCTCCGCCCGACACTGCAAACATCTTTGGAAACATCACCCTGGAGCTGGGCGGCGGCCGGGCAGGTGGGCAGCTCCCCGCCCCGGCACGGAGCCGCTCGGGAGGGTCCCYGCCCACGGGACCCCGCTGCTATTGCACTTCTCTTTCGCTCAAGCGTCACCAGTTTGGCGCAGGGASGGGAATCACGGGCCGGGGGAGGCAGCGGGGCCCCACCGAGGGGTATGTACATGGGCAGGGGGTGGAGAACGTTCCAGCTTCCTTGATCCTGTTTGTTTTCCAGTGTGAAACAAGGTCCGTGATTTGTTTAAAGTGGTTAATTGGTATTTTCTGTCTCTTTTTTTTTTTTTTTTTCTTTCTTTTTGTAAAAAGAGGGTGAGAAGAGGGTGGGGCAAAGGGAGGTGGGATGGGGAGGAGGGGACATAAAACCGGGAGAGACCCCCACCCTGTTACCCTGGGCTGTAAACGAATCCTCGGAGACGAGTCTCTGAGCTGCTCATTTCTCGGGCATCTTGCTGGCTCCTCCCTTCCGCTGGCTCGGGGGTTTGGGGACGAGCTCATCCCCCTCGGGGCTGCCCCGGGAGCCTTCCCAGTGCTCGAGGGTTTTCTTGTGATTAGTCTTTGCTGCCACGCTCTCTCTGCCCTTCGGGGACATTTCCGGAGGCCTCTCCTTGGGTTTTCTCCCCCTTTTCTTCCCGTTTGTGCTTTTCTTTTTCTCCTCTTTGCTGGAAGAAAGCTGTTCCCTGTTTTTCTTTTTCCGGCTGGCMTCTGAGGAGGTTCGGAACCAGTTCTGTGTCCGTGGGGTGACACGGGGGTTAGTGACTGCAGGCACTGGCACCAGCACTGGCACACACAGCCGAGCCTGGCCCACCCCTCACCCCGCTGGCATCACCTCCCTGAGCTGCTGAGCAGCTGCAATGAGCCTGGGGGTGTCAGGGACACCAGAAGGGAGGAACTCCCCTCCCCCAGGCTGACTGGGAACTGCAACTGCTCTCTGCACTTAACAGACATTGGATGGATGGATGGATGGATGGATGGATGGATGGATGGATGGATGGATGGATGGATGGATGGATGGATGGATGGATGGATGGATGGATGGAAAGGGACAGCCCAAGGATGCATGTACTGGAGCAGGGACCAGCCCAGCCCAGCTCCAGCTGCTCCCTTACCTCCGAGTGAGCCTTGATGATGTGGTATTTGACACCGCTCTCGGAGCTGAACTCCTTCTGGCACAGGAGGCAGCGGTACTTGCCCACCGAGTGGTCCCCCTGAAAGACACAGCAGCTCCTGCAGAGCCCAAAGCACCCCAAGGACTGGCCCTACCCTGACCCTGACCTCCAGTGACCTCAAAGTGACACAAAATAAACACTCATGTCTGAATGACCTGATCTCTGCCAGCCTCTGTGCCAGGCCAGGAGCTCACAGCCACATCCTCTATCTGAGTTTCAGTCCACATCACTCRCGCTGCTGCCTTCGTGTCCCCAGTGTCACCAACAGCAGGTGACAGGGCCATTGCCCCATGTCCTCACTGCCACCACATCTGCTCTACCCTGGGACTGAGCCACCATTGGATTTATGTCCAACACTCACCTAATTTTCCTGTTACATTGTCGAAGAGCCAGGGTGACTGCTGGATTCCTGTCAGCAGCGCCCTGGTGGGATGACGGATCTCCCGGTTCTGCCGCAGGTCAYGGCAAGCAGGAGATAATGTGCTCTCTATTGACGAGGGGGTTATGGATGGGCCCCTCTGGGCCATATATCTCCTCCCTGGGAATTTCTCCATAGCTGTAAATCTTGAGTTAGATGGGTCTCCCATTTCAGGAGAGCACAGGCCTGGCTGCTGGAATCCTCGTGCAAAATCATCCTGGTGCATCAATCCCCACTGAGGATATGGTGCTGCCTGGGAGCAGCCTCTGCTCTTGCTAAGGCTTGATGTATTGCAACCAGTTCTGCAGGATTTTACAGCAGGAAWCACAGACCAGCTCTGGAGGGGCTGTGATTCATTTATGCCCAATCTGCTGGCACATGTATTCAAAGCAAATCCTCTCCTCTAAAGGAAGGAATCCTGCCGACTGTGGTGTGGGGTCACAGAGCAGCAACTCCCCAGTGCTGACACCCAACACCTGGCCTCAGCTGTGCCAGATCCTGAGGGTGCAGCTCTGTGCTTCATGGAAATGTTCATGCAGATCCTGGCTGCCTCCCATGCACGGAACCAGCCAAAAACCAGCTCCATTTTCTCTTGGAGAAGGAGCTGTCCCAGTGTTCTGTGTTTGCCCTTTTATCCTGCATAAATCCAGCTTCTCCTGCCGGATCTCTGMAGCCCATTTTCTAAATGATCTCATTAAGGGCTGCTGTTCCAGCTAGCGCTGGAGGAGAGCGGGAGTTGGTGTTTTTAATAACCACGGGGTATGGATTGGAGCTGCCTCCTGGAAGCTCCATTCAATGAAGCTGCAGCTGGAAATGTTTCAGGGCATAAAGCTTTAGCAGCTCTTACTTGGTTCCAATTTGAGGGACCTACACTGAGCTCCTGATCCCTCCCCTGGGGCAGCTGCAGGGCACTGGAGCTCAGGGCTGCTCCATCCATCCAGTGGGAGGGCACTGGTCTCTGCAGCAGCTGCCTCTTCCAGACTCAACTTACCCCAGGAGGCACCGCACCAGCATCCCTCCAGTTGTGCTTCCAGAGGGGCTGTAGGGCTGCCCAAAYTGATGGAGGAAGACTCCTGATTGCAACCTGCCTCAGGAAACACTCAGCTCCTTGACTCTGAGCTGCTGGGGCTACTGTGTGGCTGTATAAAGTAGTGGCCATGTTGCGTAGCCAAGGGCTAGTGAATGACCTGTGGGCTGCAGGGACCAGCTGGGCAGGGGCTGCTRTAGGATGGGAAGATGTAAGGCAGGAGGGTTTAGTCCCACTTCTGTCTCCCCAGGAGACAGAACTGTCTCCCCAGTTCCTCCCCAGGAACTTTGTGTGTCRGAGGTCTGGGCTCTCAAGTGAGAAGTCTGTGGTGTGGGACCTTTTCTCTAGAGCTGGAATTGCAGCYCCATCCCCTCCATCCCMTCTGCTCAGCTCAAGCCTCTCTGCCTCCATCTGCCTCATGACAACTCCTTGGGAGCAGCACTGCCCAGAGAGCCCTCCCAGCAGCCACCATCCTTTCACCCGTGCCATTGTCCCTTGGTTTGTTCTTTCCAAACCAGCTGGGGGAACAGAAAACCCAATGCCAAAGCCACCTCTGASAAAAGGTTGTAAAAGGTGGGACCTACCTTGTTGCAGTTGGCCAGGTGAGCTTTCAGCCCCGAGACACTTGAGTAAATGGCTTCACAGCACTACAAGAAAAACAAAACAGGGTTAGAGATGATCCCACTCATCCCCTGCCTTCCTCTGAGCCGGGGCCAGGAGCCTGCTGAGCCAGCACGGCCATCAGTCCAGGCTGAGCAGTGTGAGGTTAATGCTCTGCAAGGCACCGAGGGCTCTGGTCACACGTTTCCCATTAGTGCTAATGGGAGTCATGTGGCCACATCSCTCTGCAACGGGCTGAAAAACTGTCTCCGTGGAAAACCTACATTTGTGAGCTGTCGGGAGGTCCTGCTGGGCTACAGGAGTTCTTGGAGCCACAGCAGAGGCTTAACGCAGAGGAGAAATCACCCAGGCAGCAGCATGACCAGTTTCTGAGCAACGTCTTTTCCAAGTGCCTGTGTATGACATTAATTAGCCAGCCTGGCTCCCCTGGCCTTGTGGGAACAGCCTCCTTCAGAACTCCATCAGCAAGGCTTTGTTTGGGACGATAAATCCAGGCTCAGCACCAGGGTAGGGTTCACCTCTCTGTCAGCTCRGGCCAAGGCCGTGTTTCACAGGGAGATGAGGCACATGCACCGTGCCCCGAGGTTTCTGCTTGTCACAGAGTTTTAAAAACCTTGGCTTMAGTCTAGCCTGGTTTAATGCTGAGAAAAGCAGATTCTCTGCATCAAAAGGCTGTGCAGGATGTGGAGCCTTCACACTGTCAGGACCTTGGGSACTTCCCAAAGGCAGCTCCAGGGGCTGAAATGGGCAATGCTGAGCCATCAGCCCCAGGGTGGCCCTGTCCCCAAGCCTGGTGGCTTGAGCACACCAGGAAGAACCCAAAGGTGGAACATGCTTTAACCAGGCACAGCAGCAAGCTCAGGAAAAGGAGGTGAAACGAATGTCTGAGCATCACTGTCATCGGAGGCCCAAAGGGAACAATTTCTGGTGGGTTTCTGCCCCAAAAACTCCCCCTTCCTCCCCCCTTCCAGCCAGCCCACAGAAGAACAGAGACAATCCTTACGTTGTTGGGACAGTTGATGCGGCCCTTCTCCTTCACTTCRTTCTTCCAGCTTTCCAGCAGCCTGGGATTGAGCTTTGGAAGTCCTGGTCGGGTGTAATTGAGCTGTGAACAATAGCAAACGATTGATTAGCAGAGCTGCACACCCCAGCCCGGTCTGCTATCCTGCCTCTTCACATGGGTCTCGCCCCACCTCGAAGTGAATAGGAGCTGAAATTTTCTTGGGAGGCTTCCCCCGGAGATGTCATTCTCCCCCTGGCTAGCACAGAGCAGGGGGGTGGCTCTGCCCACTGCCCTGCAGCAGAGGAGGGTCAGGATCCTGCTTGAGGGTCCATGGCTGGCCACAGGGCCAGGACTGGACCCGGTGTTTTCAGTGCATGGCGATGGCACAGCCCTCCTGTCGTGTTTTATAACCAGTGGAATAAACAACCCTGCACACTGGGCAGAGGGGACCAGGCCAGGAGCCTCCAAGGCTGCCTTCCATGGATGAATGGGCACAACCCGTTAAACAATGAAAGGCTCTTGTGTCTCTGCCTCTCTTTCTGGCAGGGCTGCTCCTTCCAAGTGCTTTTAATTAGCGCTTTATTAGCAACTTTGAGGGTTAGCCTAGCGGGCCAGCTTTCCCAGCTCCAGTTCGTGTTCAGCACAAGCCGAGGTAGCTGTGGCAGCTCCAGGCATCTCCGGGCCTCTCAGCCACTGTGCCTGGCCCTGCCTGCAGGRCTGGTCCCTGCCTGACACTGAGCCACCGTGCCAAGGTCTGCAGGGGACACTGGGCTGCAAAACCACATCAGCACAACTCCCAGCCCATCCTGGTGACCTCTGATAGAGCCAGCAGATGTTGTTTGGGTCCCGAGCCCCAAATTTGCCCTGAGTGGGAGCAGTGCTGGGTGAGCCCASAGATGGCACGGTGCAGGTGTGGTACCTGTGCCACTCTCCCTGGGCACCTCTGAGCTTGGAATGCAACTGCATCCATGCATCCATGCTGGATGGAGAGGATGCATGGCCAAGAGGTGCATGCAGAGGTGCACACCCAGGCCAAAAATTCCCCGAGGATCTGGAGCTGGTGGTTCAGAGTCAGTGGGAACCTGGCTGGATTTCTTTTCCAGCTGTGACTTTTCCTGAACATGCTGATAAAGCTGAGAATCTRCCCGTTCCCAAATCTCCCTGCAAAGGGAAGCTTGGGATGTCAAAGGCTCAGATACCAGCCACTCCTTTCCACTCACATTGAAGCAATCCATGTGCTCCTGCAGCCTTCCCCYTGGCACGTGGCGGGGCATGGCCAGAGCATGTGAGGGGCAGGGGTGCAGGGCTTTGYGAAACGGCGCCGTGAGCGCTGCTACGGACGGATGTGGATGTGTGAAACTTCCCCGAGCCCCAGCGTGCTGCAATTCTGTCGTGCTTCGCGGCTGGGGGAGATGCCAGCAGAGCTCTTTGAAGCTCTGGGATGGTGCATCTACCAAGAGCTTGGTCGCCAGCCCRGGAAAGGCAATGCCACCTCCAGGGRAGAACAMAGGAGTCCCTTTTTGCCATTGATACTGAGAGCCAGGATGCCAAACGGCCTCCGTAATTAAAACCTAATCAATCCCATGAATGAGCAAACATTAATGGTAACCGCACACAGCCCCAGCAACAACCTCTCCCTCCGCGTGTCCCCGGGCAGGAGGCGAGGGGGGAAGTTCTGAGATGTGGACTCTGCTGCTCTGCTTTCCCACTCCAGAGAAAAATCCCTCCCTGCTCTCCTCCGACAGTCCTGCACAATAACATGCAAATCCCATGTCTTCCCAGGGCGCTGCGGTTCTGGGAATGTCAAAGTCATCTTTATGTCTCTATTAAGAGGGAGCCCCAGGCATGGAATATTTTATATTTTTTTCTCTTTTCCATTTATTTTCCTCAAACAGCCTGTAAGTGAAAATTTTCATGGCCAAATCATTAAACGACTACAACTGGTTTTGGCTGCAGCCCATCTCTTCTGAACAGTCAAAGGATGCTGGGCTGGGAAGGTTTGTTTCCTTTGACTGATGGTTTTATTTAATTAACTTYCATATTTCAATCCTCTCTGCTCCCTAGACAGCTCTCCCCTTCCCCAAAATATGGCAGTAAATGAGAAACATGCGGAATATCTCAGCCATGAGCACCCCTGAAGCCTCACCCAGCACAAGGCACGGCTCTCCCATCATCCTGTGGAAGTTGTGGATGATGCTATGGAGGCAAAATGCACCCAAGGGTGCTGGCTGGCAGCCAGATCCCACAGGAGGGTCACCCCATGCCAGCTCTGCTGAGCAAGGGGAGGAAGGATGGACTTGGCCCCGCAGCTGGAACTGGGATCTGGTTTGGCCCACCAGTGCCATGAGTCCGCAGGGCTCAGCCTGGCTCCCGCCTGGATTGCAGGGCCATTGTTTTGGGGGACAAAACCCAAGCCAGGCTCTTCTGCTCTGGAATTTATCCTGGTTCCAGTACAAAACCTCAGTCYTGGAGATGACTTTTCCCCTTTAGCTTTATGACTGGCCTAGGGCTGYCCTTTGCTCCAGATTCCTGGCACCCCACGGCACCCATAAGGATGCGCAGACTCCATGGCTGCCCCTCAGTGTTGCTCCATGGCAACACTGAGACCCCAAGCCATGGGGTGTCCATGTACCCCACAGTGGAGCTCTGCATCCCTCCCTTGTAGCACAGCAGCTGCCTGGTCTGCAGGAGCCCRTCACAACCTCCAGCACCTTGAAGCAAGGAACCTCACCTCAAGCTCTRCCAGGAAAGCACCACACTCTGAAACAGTGGTATTTCCACAGCATTTTCTCCTCTCCTCCTTCTTGGATGCCTCTTCCTTCTGCTTGAGGAGGTTTTTTCTCATCCCTCACCATATCCCAGAGCCCACTGCTGTGAGCTGGGAACCTGCAGCCTCAAGGCTGCTCATGGGCCCTAGCAAAGGCCTGAGGAGGGTCRGCATCATCTTCACGGAGCTTCTGGAGAGGGGACTTTTCCCAGAAAAGCAGCAGGGGTGTGCCCTTCCCCATCTGACATCCCCAGCAAGCGGCTGTTGTGAAACACCCCATCTGTTTCAGCTTATCTGGAGGCAAATAAAGATCGGAGCRAGAAAATAAGACTCCAGTGTATATTTAGAAATGCTGGATTTGGTTAGCGCAGACCGAAGGCAGCGCGGGGCCTGGGATCGAGCAGCAATCGTTTATTCTAATGCCATGGCTTTGGTGTGAAGGAATCCATCCTCCAGGGGAAAGGCGAGCACATCCCACCACAGGCCACCAGCGGGATCCAAAGCCAGCATCCCTGTCCCCGGCTGGGACCTGCTGCCATGTGGCCACAGAGCAGGGGCTGCAGCAGGGCTGTGAACCCCTCAATCCCATCGACTTCATGAGGAGCTGTGCCTTCTCCTGGAAAAAAGTTTTGCTGCCTGGAAAAGGGATGGAGAGGGATGGCTTTCTTTCTTGAAATCCACACTGCTGGAACCATGGTGGGGAAGTCAAGAGTTCGGGGATGGAGCTTGTCCTGCGCTGCAACAAATTTGAGTGTGTCCATCCACTRCTGGTTACAGACCAGGGCTGGGAAGAATCTGTCCCTCTGGAATTCTGGAAATCCCTAGGGCTCATTGAAAAGGTGAAGAAGCAGTTGCATCTGCTGCTGGTCCCATTCTCTCCACATCCAGACTTGGGTCTGCAGGCCTTGAAAGTGTACTCCCAATGGCCGGGTATGGCTCAGGGGGAAGAAGARGTGATGGTGTGGTGCCTCTTCTGGGAATTCCATCAGTTCCCATCAGTCCCAGTGCCCTGGTCATGGTGAACTGGTGTTTATCTTCCTGCTGCTACAGTGGSTCTGGGCTGTCAGCTCCTTCAGGGACAGCCACCACATGTGATCAGTGGGGTGGTGGCACTGGGACATGGGGACACTGCCGGCTGCTCTGAGCCTCCCATGTGGCACAAGGCTGTCCCACAGGCAAGTTCTGAGGGAAGTTCTGTTTTGGGGCTGTAACGAGGTCAAATTGGGCCTCGCTGGRAGATTTTTTTCCACACCCTGAACTAAACCAACTTGTAAATGCAGAGTGGTCCTGAGCAATGCAAACTGTGGCTCAGCAGAGCAGCTCAGAGCGTGCTGAAGTCAGCAAGCTCCCACCAGCCTCCCAGAGCAGAACCTGCCTCCCACCTCCTCCCAGCATTGCTCGTCAAGAAAAAATGTCATAGACTGAACAGATTATGAAGTGTTGTCAAGGGAACGTGACAGTCACTGCAAGACGTACCCACAGGCACATGCACAGCTATGAACAGATTCACCCACTGCACCAACTGCCTCCAAAATCCATGCGGGATTTCACGCAGGGCCTGAGATCTCTTGATCCTCCAACCCAAGAGCCTTGTTTTGCCATCTGGGAGCTGATCCAATTCCCCCCCTTGCCCATCTTCAATGCAAAACTGCTTCTGCCAACTTCACAGCAATTCTTTGCTTTTTAGCACTGAGACGGGGCTCAGTTAAACTTAAACAATCACACTCTGAACACAAGAAATGTCTCATTAAAAAAACCCACCAGCATTTCACAGAGCAATTACGCCATTGCTGAGACCTTTACGATGCCATTGTATGTCAGCCTAAACATGTGCCCCTTGTCCTGGCCTGAGGTCCTGGCTGCTCCCTCAATTCAAAAAGAAAATACCCAAAATCAAGAGTAAAGGAAACAATTCCAAGAGGAGAGAGAAGAATGCAAGAGCTGAAACAGGAGAAGGGAGAAGAGAGCAGCACACCTCTTCTCCCACAATATTTGAAATGAAACAGCTACTTTGGGCTTGTTTTTTTATGTTATTAATGCACTGCAGCTGAAGTCATCTGGAAACCAACAATGGCAACATCAAGCACTGGGGAAATAAAAAGTTTGCAAGCAGTTCTGGCCCTAAAATGCCCAGCTCTGCCCCAAGGTGGATGGCAGCACTGCGGGGGGATTCCCTTCTGTGCCACTGSCTCACTGGGATGCCAAGGCAGGTTAGGAAGCTGCTGGTTTGTTCCTGTGCTGGTTTACCAGCTGCTCACCACGTGCAGACCAGAGCTGAGCCAGGCTGAGCTTCTCTGGGTCTCCACAGGACCATGGTGGCACTTCTGCTGAGCACACACAGCTGCCAGGACAGCATGGGACAGGCTGTGAAGCAGGAAGGCATTTTGGCTCAGGCTCTGCTGTCCTGCCATTCCTTTTCCTGGGGTGAGCCACATTCTCCAAGCTGGCTCTGACACTTGGGCTGTTCTCAAGGCTTGGGCCAGGTCCTCTGGGCTGTGACKATTCACACTCTCTTGATGCACTCTGATCCTCACTCCCATCTTTGCAATGTGCCCAATATCTTGTCAGGGTGAATTTCAGAGCACTGGACAAGAGATGCCCAACTGTTCAGAGCAGGGAATAGGCCTGGCACCTAACTGCAGTCACCTGCTCAGGAAACAGGCTGCAGCTCATGCAAAACTTGCAGGAGAGCTCTGCACTGAATCCTGGCAAACAAACAAAAACTCCTATTCCCTCTCTTTTTTCACCTTTACACTGACAAGGTTTATGATTTACTGCTGCTTCATTCCTTTTATAATCTGGAAGAAGCATACCGGGAGGGAGTTTCAATTTTAGGAAACTCCCAGGAATAATCTCCTCCCACAGCCAGAAGGGAGGTTTGGTTTACRTTTACACACTCTAATGCCTACAAAAAGCTCAAGCCTGCTGGGGCCCTGTGCAGACCCCACAGCACTGAGCCACGAGTGYATCACTGCTGGAGCCTGTGGGGCTCAGCCCTGTCTCCACTCTCTGCCTGCCCCTGCTCCCAGCAGCACTGCTCTACGATGCTGCAGGCCTTTTACCTCCAGGAAAATGTCTCCCAGAAGTTAAGGAAGAGATGTGGAAGGGAGGGAATTCTGCCTGGGGCATCTTTGCTCTCTGGCATCGCAAAGGAGATGGTTTCAGATCCGATCTGCTCTCTTCATGTGCTCCTCTTGGCTGCCAGCCCCTGCCTCCCTGCTCAGCATGGACCAGAACTGACCTCCCTCCCCAAAACTCTCAGGGCCAGACCCTGATCTCCCTCCAGTGCACCACCTCTTGCTCCAAAGGGCATAGCTGCCTGCTGCTGGGAGCCTCCAGACCACAGCGGCTCAGCCTCTGCTGGGTGGGCTCTTCAGCAATAAATCTGCCATCACAGCTAATTAATTTAAGGCACAGCAAGTGAGACACGTGAGCCTTCAACCAGCTGGGGCCAGGCTGGAATCCTGGGATCTCTGTGTACAGCTGGGACCAGGCTAGAATCCTGGGATCTCCGTGTACAGCTAGTGCAAGAAAAAAGGAGAGCTAAAGGCTGCTCACCCGCTTCGTTTCAGGCACCAGGTCATCCTTCATCCTCCKCTTGGTCCAGTCCCTGGCGAGCTCATCCTCTGCTATCTCCTGGAGGTGGAAGACGGCTACTTGGGCTGACGTCCGACGGATGCGGCCGCTCGGGGTTCTCTCAAAATCCTCTACAGGACCAGGCTCCGGCTTCACCTCTGGCTCCTCTGGAGGCTGCAAGAGATACAGAGTCAGGAAGGGCATGAGGAGAGAACAGGGGAGCTCTCCAGCCCYGGGGAGGGGATGCTGGGATTTGGGCTGTGTGTTTCCAGACCAGCTTTGTGCCTCTGCACCGGGGCATGGAGCAAGGGCAGCACCCTCCTCCCGCAGCCCAGCAGTCAGCAGCAGCCAGTGTCCCTCCGTGCTCCCACGTGTATAAATGTCTCCAGTTATTAGAGTTAGGGAGTGATTAGCGTCGGATGCATTGTCAGTAGGGATCAACAGAACAGAGAGGGATGCTCCCCAGGGACAGATCCTGCCACCCCAGCGCTGGCAAGCAGCCGGCGCTTGTGAGGGAGCGGTCTGAGGTCTGGTTTAATTTTTCCCCTGCAGAGCAYGGATGCAGGGTGGGCTGGAGCACAGCCCTGTGGGCACTGGGGAAAGGGAATGCTGCCGACTGCTCCCATAAYCAGCATTTTTGGAGGGGTGGAGTGGGGATGCACCCTGTTCCCCCCCCCACTGCATGGTACAACACACGTGCATGGTGATTCGAGGGAGAAAACAACACTGGTCCGACGTCTGCACCTGCCTTGCCCGGCTCTGTCCTGCCCACAGGCTCTGCAGCTCTGCAGTCCCCCCCGGGGGGGGATGGCCCCGCTCCTCGGGCTGCGGAGGCGTCCGGGGGGCTCACCGAGGCCGTGTGTTCTGACCGCACATGATAGTCGTGGCCAGCCTTGGATTTGTACTTCTTGCCGCAGTGGGGGCAGCTGAACACGGGCTTGTCGGCCTCGGCRAGCTGCTTCCCACACCGCTTCTGGTGGTACTGGTAGCCCATCAGGCTGGAGAAATTGGCCACACAACCCTATGGACATGGGGAGAAGGGCAGAGTTAAGGAGGGCTGGGGCTTCACGTGTCCATGTGGAAAAGGCTGGGGTGCCATTTCTCCAGGGAGGAACATTCCCAAGGAGCCCACTCCGAAGAGCAGCTTTGCCAACCCATCCCATCCAAGCGCCAGGGAATTTGACAGTCCCCAAAGAGCCATGCACAGGCGTGAGAGTGCCCAGGAGGGACGGGAGGAGCAGCCCCTGCCCCTGGCACCCCCTGCCCCACCACACAGACAGAGCTCTCAAGACAGACACACAGCAGGCAGTGGGACAGAAAGGCACTGGGGAGGCGCTGCCTACACAGAGAGCAAAGCACCCGTGGGGCAAACCTCTGCCAAATGCCTCCCTTACCTGTTCGTGACTTGTCTGCAACCGGCTTGGCTCTGCTTTTGGTTTTACGCTGTGCCCAGGGCAGGCTGTGCCCCTTCCAGAGCTCAGGAGGCAGCACCTGCCCTYCAGCACTGCTCAGTCTGCCCTGTGCCCACCCTCCTGYCCGGCTGTCCCTCTGGGGGAGCGCACAGAGCCAGTGGGACAGAGATTGGGATGGCTGAGCTCAGTCAGAAATGCTGAGCACATGCCAAGGGATGCCTGGAGAGTACATGTCCCCCTCTGAATGGGACTCATTCCTTCCACCTTTTCACAGAACGAGAAACAAGAATTGTTCTTGTACCTCATTGGGGCATTTCAGTTTTCCCATCTGCTTTAGCACTTTCCTCAGCCTTTCCCGCTCTTCCTGTTCACCAAGTCCAGCGGTTTCCACAGGAACAGGCTGGAAACAAGGAAGTAACAGAAGCGACAGAGTCAACCATTTACTCATGTCCTCTGTGCCAGGAATGGATGGTAAACCCCTGCCTTGCAGGGAGCTCCCCTGGAGAGAACCTCTTATTATGAGAGCTGGATCTCCCACTGCTTTGCTGTTATGTGCTGGATCTGCTCATGCCTTTCCTGTGAAAAGGGCCAGCTGAGAAACCCAGGAGCAGTTTCTGCACAGAGGATATACTAGCAAGACTGAAGAGCAGGAGATTAAGGCACAGGTAAAAGACAAGTCACAACTGGTAAGCACGGGACATGTAGAAATGAAGTTATGCCTTGCCGTGGTATCTCGGAGGTGTACACAACCAGACTTTTAGAACAGCATCTAAACTGGCACCTGCAAAATTTTATTCATGATAAATTCTTCTCCCATGTACAGTGGAGAGCTAAAGACCAGATTCTGAGATTTGTGCAAGGCAGAACCCATCAGTCCCAGATCTGCAGGCACAGTTTTGGAGGCAGAGCTTTGCCACTCAAAATCCGCCTCACCATACTCACCGGATCTTCCCCCACGTTGCGATCTGAAATCCTGTTTTATTTTTACAGTCCTCTGCTCTACTTATCAGGATCAACATGAGMCTAACTCACTACCTGGGAAGGAAATGCTTTCCTTGGCAGGAAGGGGAAGGCCACCATCCAGGCTGAGCAGTGTGTGAAATGCTGCAAAGGTGGACCCCTCCTTTACAAAGATCATGCAAAGAGGACTTCTGATGGATGGCTTCATCACCTGCACGGAGGAAGGAGGCACAAGACGAGCCCAGCTCCCTTACCTTGCTGACGTGTTCAGCCATGGTGTGGTAATTCAGCCCAGCTTTGGACTTGAACTGCTTTTTGCAGTGCTGACACTTCAGGGCATCCTGCARCTGAAGGAATTAAAGACAAGTCACCAGAGAGGCCACATCCTTCCAMGGGCTGCTACTGCCGGTGGTCAATAACCCCACAGGTGGCTGTTGCTGCAGCAGTACTCAGTGCCAGCAGGCAACACAGTGTCCCTGTTCCCTATCCCAGTCCCTGCCTGCAGCTCAGAGCTTTCTCTCTGCTGTCCTGGATACTGTTATCAAACCCACATGCCCCAGTTTTTGGAAAACATTGCATTTTGGATTTAGATTTAAAGCCTCCCTGGCTGAAAACATCTGGATCTGGTGTCTTAGTCTTCCTGTTAAAGGGTTAGGAGAGAGAAGCAGCTTTGATCTACCAATGTCAGTGGACTGTGCTCTGCAGCCCTGTTAATTAAGACAGATGCTGTACAATGTAATTTCTGGGTGCCTGGGCTGAGTGAAATTAAGGACACAATCACAAAAGGATCCTTCCTGCCTCATACTGCCCTGCATTTGTACCCAACAGCCTCCCAAGTGCCTGGGAGATGAATTAACTGCACACCCCGAGGCACGAGGGGCACTTGCACAGTGTGTGAGCACGTCCTGACTTTTGCTGGGGCAGGGACCAGAATTTCCTGACTCAGGAGGTTCATGCTTTGGGCACCAAGAGACAGAGTATCTCAGCAGTGCCTGGTCAGGGAACAGGGAACAAGTGCCTGGTCAGCCGTGGTCATTCCTGCTTCTCCTGCCAGATGGTTCACCTTCACCACTCTCCCTTCAATCAAGACTGGACTAAAAGCTGGAGAGGTAATGAAGATGGATCTGTAAATCTCTCCTCATTATGGAACTCTGGGAATGAAGAATAGACTCACTGCAGCCAGTTGGAAGTGACTCATGGTACCTGTGCTCCCATCAGTTAACCTTGTTCCAGATCCAAGCGTTTGATCCTAACAAGGGCGATGCTAACAGCTCCTTGACTCATGAGATGCCCCTACCAGCTAATTTGGGATTTACTCATCTGCTCAACACTTAAAAACGTACCATGCCCACATTTCAAAAAGCTTCCCACCTGGGATACCAGGAGAATATAACTGCCCTTGCCTCCTTCAGGCCCAGGCTTGTTGCAACCYTCTCCATCCCTTTACTTCCTTTTCAAAACCAAAGCAAACAGGTGCAGACAGCTTAGTGACAAGCATGGAACAAGGAAATCAACTTCCATTCTTTAATACAAATTTTGGGATTCTGCACATCTTTTTCCCATTGTCCAGCTAAGGAAAATATCAATCATTAAAGCAGAGGGGGTGCCTGAATCACAGGGTGGCTGCTGATAGGGATCCCATGTGCCTGTAGCAGAGGGGTCTCACTAAGGTTGTGCCRCAGGTTCATCTCAGAGATGGAATGCTGAGAGCTGGACCTGCAGTCACACTGCCCAGAGCTTAGGGACTGTCCTGTCGGGATTTTGTGAAGCTCCCAGAGCAGCACAGCCAGCTCTGGCAAGGACTGTCCCTCTCAGAAGGGTGACAGAACACCCACTCCAAGGGCTAGAGCCTTGAATTCTCAGCTGAACACCCTCTGGCATATTTCCAGCAGGGAAAACATCACTRACTGCTCCATAAGAGATGTGCTCAGCAGGTCATCTGGCTGTGCAGCCTGCAGAGCCAGCCTGGCTTGACACATGCTCCAAAGTGGAGGAAATACAGCCAGTGATGGCCAGGATCCCCACTCCATCGAGGCCAGGAGGATATCGGAGGTGGCAGGCTTCTGCCTAGCATTGCTATAGCACAAGGTTTGKGAGGGAGAGCAGCTTCCCACTGCTGTACAAACAGAAAGGACATGGCTGGGGAAAGTATTTACAGAAAATAAATGTGGAATCAAAGCCCAGCCACATATTTTCAAAGCAGGAGGCATCCATCGCACGTTGGCTTTCCGTGGCGACGGCTCCRCCAGGTGACGGATGAAGACGTAATCCTGTGCTCTGATGGATGGTGGTGTGGCAGAGAGATGATTTTTCACTGCACCGTTACTGAACTCCTACATCCTGACAGCCTGCCTGAGCACATCCAGGCTCAGAGTCTCCCCAAGATATGCTCTCATGCAACCGCAGTTTATTTGGCTTGATACAAGGCACAGCACACAGTGAAACCCCACAGCTCTGGAGGAGGCCAGATTAAAAAAAAAAAAAAACCCAACAAGCTCTCCAGTCTTAAAATTATTTGTTTAGCTGCTAGAAATACCTGATTCTGCTGAGACACTGGGCCAAGGGGCCCAGGTCACAAAGGGATTCAGAATTTTTGAGAATTAGTGTCCAAATCCCTCTGAGTTGATGCAAGCCAGCCAGCAATCTGAAGATGACCAASTGTTCTACCACAGTCCAGAAACAGTTTTAGGAACACCACTACACATTCATGGCATATTTATATGCCCATTCCCCTCCAAAATCCATGTGTTTGCTGAATAAAGTGAGGCCTTACTTTCTGGCAGACATCCATGTGCTTTTTGAGCCCCACAATAGTTTTCCTGGTTATAACACTGCAGGTTGGACAGGAGACCTCCCCCTTCTCGCTGATCTCCCGCTGCCACTGGTCCTCGGGGCTTGCTGGTAAGGGAGAGGAGAGAGGTGTTACATCCAACCTGTATGAGCTGCTTGATTTGTTAAATTGAAAAGTGGTGAAGAGGAAAACTTAAAAAAAAGAGATACACTCTCCCAGGCAAAGCCAAAACCAGACATGAACCGTGCAGGCCCTTGGAGCTCTCCCTGCCCCACTCTCCTGCAGCTGCCCAAGCAAACTGGGTCACTGGGTCATTTTATGTGGAGTTACCAGACCTGATGACCTGAAAAGCAGGTTCACCTTTCCAACCCCACTGGTATCCTGCACACTGGGAGTTAAAACACGGATGATGCCCCCAGCCACCTGATCCTGCCCTGCTTGGAATAACTTCYCCCTGCCAAATGAAACAATTAGCGGGAGTGAAACAAAGGTGAGCGTCTCAGCTCCATCCGGACGTGTGCCTGGAAAGCTTCTCTGGCAATCCTCTTCCCGGCAGACATGGAGGAAGCTGGGGGACTGCTRGCTTCCAGGCGTCTGTTTATTTGAATGGCTGTGACCAGCCTTAAAAAAACCCAAAATAAGAGATATGTGGGGCCAAAAGCAGCTCCCAGGCCCAGAGTTCACGCCGTGTTCTCAGCAGAGCAGTGCTGGCCTTCCAGCAAGGGAAGCCTGGGCTGAATAAAATCTGCCAAGTCTGTTTATTTGGATGCTCTTGCATGGCTGTGAGATCAGAGAGTCGTTTATTTGAATTTGAAAGCAGTGCAAGGCACTGCAGCTGTGTTTATCTTGCACATCCTGCGTTCCTCCTGCTGTCAGAGCTCTCAGGGAAAGCAAGCAACCTGTGCTGGGTGCAGGCTGCACCTCAGAGGCTCAGGGAAGGCGTAATTATGCCCAGAGTTATGCACTGGTGTCATTCATGGGAATGATGTTAGAAAAATGCCATCATTGCAYGGGTCACATGCTGGCTCAAAGTGAAGCCAGGTGGAACTTGGCTCTCAACTCCCAACTTTCATCATGTTGACCTGGCACTGAACTGAAGGTAAGGTGCCCCTCAGGATGTCAATTGTGGCTGCACTAACATTTTAGGAGCAGAGGTTGTTCCCACATCTGTGTTATATCTCAAAAGGGCAGGAGTTGTGTGCTCCTACCTCTGACTTTGTGCTGCTTCTCCTGACAAACCTGCCAGAAAACTCACCCAGGAACAACCCGCTGGGTCGAGAGGAGTGTGGGGACCACAAACTGCAGGGAAATTTGGGTTGGTGGCATGGAGGTAGGGACCATGCAGGCTTGGGGCAGTGCACAGAAAAGCAGCCACACTGCACACAGAGCTGCAGCCTGTGCTTTGCCCCCACCAGCCTCACCTGCTGGTAGATGCACAGATGTTTCCTTCTTCACACCAACTCCTGGAGGTTTCTTTTTCAGCTCCTCCATGTTGGCATTTCCCTCCAACTTCTTGGCTCGATGGGCTTTTGCTTTGTCCTCTGCTTTGACAAGACCTGTAAACAAAGCAAATTTTTATTCAGTACTTTCAGAGCAACTCACATTTAGCAGGTAAAAAATCTCTCCCTCTAAGCCAGGACATTGAGTTGGCTGCGTGTCTGCCAAGGCTGTACATGTAGGCTCAGGTCCATGATTATGACAAGCAATATTCTAACAGCTTGAGGTGTTTTATAAACACCATCATTTCATCCAACACAAGTTTATGAACTATGGGAACTCTGTGGCAAAGTGAGGTAGGATGCAAAAAACTGAAAGGGTGAATTGGAACAGCAAATTCAGTGTGTAAAATGGATGTTCCTGCTGATGCTCTTGCACTGGAAAGGCTGTTTAACGTCCCTGGATCAAATCCTCAAATTTGATGTGCAGTTCAGCCCTGTGCCTGTACTTCCACAGAAGGTGAGTAATGAGGTGACTACCAGGCTCAGACCCACACTTGCCCCACAAGGGTCCACATCCCCCTGAACCTGGGGGTTGTGACTTGCAAACCCAGGGCCTGAATGGAGACAGCACCCTGTAGCATGCTGGGACACCCCTGTTTTTGGGGAGTGACTGCCACATGGAACTCAGGAAACGCAGGCAAATGCCTGCCCCATCTTCACTGTCCATCTGAGCAGCAGGGTATGGGGACAGCCTGCTCTCCAGGAACCCACAGCAGAGGCTTCTTCAGTCTCTGGCAGTGCCTCTGTGGGGAAGATAAGGGAAACAAGSCCAGACTTCCCAGGAGCCAGAGGAAAGGAAATCACAGAGACCACATCCAGCCTGCTTGTCGGTGTTCAATTCCTTCAAAGCCATTAGTGCCTCTCCCCCGAGTGCCTCATACTGGAAGGTGCTGCCTCCTGCAGTGCCTGGAAATCCGCTTTCTAYTTCTCTGGCTGAATGTATCTCACAGTCAGCCTGAATCCAGCTGCTCTCGTTCCAGGGATGCTCCAGGATTTCCCCCTTCTTCCCAGCCCCATTTGGTGTATTTAYGGAGCATGACCAAAGTCCCAATTGCTTTGTCAGGCTGCAGCAGCCAATATCTGGGCGTCCTCTCAGAGAACATCCCGGCAACACGTCTCCTCTCCCTTGGATTCACTCTCCCCAATGTGGGCGACCAGCCCTGGAGATGGTGTCTGAGGGATGGGTGCGTCACCAGCCTTTCTACGCAGCAGAATTCCTCCCCGACGCCACTGCGACATCCCAGGATGGTGGGATGGTGATGAGATGATATTTCTCATATCTCACTCGTGTCAGCAGCTCGTTACTCTTGTGTTACATACCCGGATCCTTTCCTCTCTTCCCTCATTTCCCAGAGCCAGGCTCCAGAACAGAGCAGACAGGGTTGTTATCGGTCCCAGCTCTGCTGTTGCTTTTCACTCATTTTATGACTCTCATGGTAAAAGCCACCATCTCCTCCAGTGTGAGATCCTTGGGCTTTGTCTGGCTCCAGCACAGGGAGGGATCTTGGGGAAGGGGCTTCCCTGCAATGCCCCAGGGAGAAGATACAACCCTACAGCTGACCAGAGTCATTCTGTATTACCTTTTAGTCCAAATGTCCCTGAGATGGATGGCTGCTCCCCCGTAAACTTCTTAGGAGTTTTCTGTTTCCTTCCTGACTCAAAAGAGAGAAACAGAGAGAGAGATTTGGTCAAATAACTGTACTGCCAGGGGCATTCATCAGTCCTGGGGCATGGGATGGGCACACACTCCATGTCAGGGGTGGGTCAGGGGTTGTCACATGAAGCACCCACACACTAAACACCAACAGCCTGCTGCTTCCCACACCACAAAAACAGGATAAGTRTGTTATTCAGGGTTAATTCAATGAGTGGAAGGGGTGGCTCTTTCTAGTGCCAAAAGCCAAGCAGTTACCAAATATGGCTGTGGTGATTTGCTTTGGTGCTGCAAGTGATGGAACCCCAAGCCATGACAGGGACAACTACTGCCCTACACGAGCTCTGCAGTGGTCATGGACAGACAGAGCCTCCTTACCCTGTCTCAATCCTTCAGGAGAATGGGTTTGCCACCATCCCAGTTTAAGCTGACACTCAGTGAGGACAGACAGGCTGACATGGCAGCTTGCTGTGCTGCCAGGAATGCAAATCCATTTCTTATCCTATCATAGGATTGTTAAGGTTGGAAAAGACCTCTAAGGTCATCAAGTCRAATTRTCATACAGGTCCTTCAGAAATATTTCTACCACAGCTACAACTGAGTTCTAACTYGCAGTGAAGCTGCAAGAAACTGGAGAGTGGGGGCATGTAATTAGGGTCATGAAACAGGGCTTAGATATCGCTTGGATTCAGAGAGACACTCGCAGCAGTGTCAGCTACAGCAGATCCCCTTCCCGTGGGACTCCTCTCTCTGGGCTCCTGAACCAGCACAGCCCCAGGCTCTAATCTTACTGTGCTTCATCCTCTCGGGGTCTTCCTCCTGCAGTGAGGCCTGGCTGCCCCGCTGCTGCCCGGCGTCCTTGCCGCTSGAGGACTTGGCCGTGGGGGTGGCAGCTGCCATGGCCTCAGCCGCTGCAATCTGGAACTCCTTGCTCTCCCGGCTCTCTGCCAGGCACTCGCCATTCTCCGCGTGCTCCTGCGCCACGGCCTTTTCCGTCTTTGCCTGTTTGGGATGGATGGTGGGGCAAGCTGAACTCTCAGCAGCTCTAGGGCAAAGCACAGAGGGCTTGTTTAAAGAGGGCTTGTTAGACAAGTGTCCTGACACCTCTCCCCCCTCGCCAGCCCAGGTTGTAGGAACRGAGGCAGGCACATTCCCCTTCTCCCAGCCATCCCTRTGCCACTGCCATGCAGCCCAGTCAYAGCCTGGTACCTTTTCTTTCCACTGCTCTTCCCAATGGCCTTGGGCATTTTGTTTTCCACTTTGCTGGCTGGCACTGGCCGGTCCAAGTGATTCCAGAGCCGATGTTTTTCCAGCTGGGTTTTGGAGGTGAAGGCAGCTTCGCAGTATGAGCATGAGTATGTCAGCTTCTCTGAGATCGCACCCTGCGTGGAGCAGGGAGAGGCAGGTGAGCACAGATGTTAGACCACAAAAGAGAGGCTTTTTCTGACACAGGCACAAACACAAATCATGTGTAATAYCCTTCTGCCCCTCCAAACAGTTACCAATTGTCCACAATCCCCCTAGGTCAGACCTCACARTGAGCTGCAGGGACTTCAGTCCCTCTCACACACATCTCACAAACTGCTCCTGACCTATTTCTGCCCTCCCTATTGCCCCATTATAACCTCACATTTCTCCCGGGGTTCAAGGCTTGAGAAGGGCTTTACCCTGCAGAGAGCAATGGAGGAGTCAGCCACTGGAAAGGACAGACAGGTCTCTGGTCTCCTTACCCCTTGGCAGCGCTGATAGTGGTACTTCAAGCCATAAATGCTGGGGAACTCCAGCCAGCAGCCTGAATTGGGACATTTCACCCTAGAGTGGGCTTTGAATTCGTCCTTCCACTGGTTCATCAGGGGGAGCTGGGAACAGGAGAAACAAGAGATAGCTGAGTGAAGAGCACCATATGCCTGGGTGTGTGCTGATGCATCCCAAGGGAGATGGGAGGGCACATGGGATGTCTGATCATTCCCATCCATCCCTTCCACCACACAGCCATGAAGAGGACCCCAGGGGTGTGTTTCACGGTAGCAGTGCTCATTCCAGCGAGAGGTGCTGGGASAGATGCTGCAGGCTCCATAGGCCAATGATTCCTGCTGAGGCTTTACCTTGCCGTGCCTCCCAGAGCACATGCACACTCCCTGCCAGGCCGGGCMATAAATCAGGCCCGAAGTCACCTGGGTGATTTAATCACCCCACATTTCATCTAGTCTGTAAATCACCCCGTGCCTGTGCTTCATGACAAACTGCTCCATGTGTTGKCCAAGCTACCGGGCAGGAATTAAACTGCACAACTCTGCAGGGAATAAATCACCCCCTTGCTGTTGCTGCTGGCTCATTAGCCAAACCTGACAGGGCTGTGACGGGATCCAGTCCTTTGGACCTGGCCCTGGGAAAGGGAGGCTGGAGAGGGATACAGTTCCTTAACCAAGGGGAAGATGCTGGATGCCTGCATGGAGGAGTTGAGGGATGAAGATCTTGCTCAGCCCAAGACAAGGCTGCTCTTAAGATTAAACCAGAGGGAAGGCTGGTTTAAGCAGGGAGTGGGGCTGGCTAGAGCATGCGGGGCATGTCAGACAGAGCGAAGCAGGGAGGGCTCAGTGATTGGAGTGTGTGGGGTCTTACAGGGATGTCTTTCAGCGCCTGGTTTTCAGCCTTGGGTCTTCCTTTCTTCTTGCCTTCAGTTTTGTCACTGGTTGCATTTCCTGGAAAAAGACACACACCACATATCGAGCTGCTGTCCCAGCAATCCTGCTGCCCAGCCCTAGCTTCCTGCTGCCTGCCTGGCCCCCTCAGCTCTAGGCTGGCCATTCTCTGCCCTGGCAAGGATGGAGATTCCCCTCTGCAAGGCAATGCCAGCAAGCTCCCTTGCAAATGAGGTGCTGATAAGACGTGGTGCAGGGAAATACGGCCTCCTGAACACAGGCATGTTCATATTGCGGACAGCTGGAGCTCATTCCCTTCAGCAATAAGTTATCCTCCTCTGCTACCAATTATGGCTTCAATCCCCTCAAGGTAACAGTGGCATCTGGGAAACATTTAGGGCACACGCATTTCCCCACAAGGCCACTGAWTTTGGAAGCCCTGAGCTCCATCGCTGGGGTCCGACCCTCTCCTGGGATGCAGGCACCCCTTGGTGTCCAGAGCCACCCTCAGCAAGGTAAAGGCAGCTACAGCCTCCCTCACAGAGGGGACCTGCCCAGCATAAAAAGACAGGAGGAAAAATCTCCTTGGGCCTGGAGATTCCTGGATAGAGGAATCAGCCATCCATCAGCGTGACAGCCCTTAGTGTGAGGGTCCCTCAGGGCTCATATGCTCGCAAGCCTCCACCCCGGGGGCCGTGACACGGGAGGCAGCAGATGGTCTGAACTCATTTAAGCCTTTCCATCCTTTGATGTAACACTTAGCTACCAACACAATAAATAGGCAGCGAGACACCCATCTCGTTAAGCYACACACACGCCTCTCTGAAGGGAGAGACCATCTCCATCCCTCCCCTCCTGCTCCCAGGGACCAGCTCTCTGCAGCTCCCAGGGCTGGGGCTTTTTTGGCCAGCACAGCTCCTTGAAGTGAGARCAGACACCCATTGAGATCCAATGCACTCTTTTTGGCAGCTGCCCCCCAACTCCTGCCACTGGGCTCRTCCCCTCTGCCCCATTCACCTCCACAGAAAGGACAAACCAGCTCCTTACCCAGCTTGGGCAGCTCTGCAGGGGGGTTTATCCTTGTCTCTGTCCTGCTTTCTTTGCTGGCTGTTGGTTTGTTAGAGCCTGCAGTTTTCCTTCCACCTTTACAGGTATAGGAATCCGCCATCTCTGAAAGAAGCAGGGGAGGCGTTAAAATTCAATCCTCGGAGCAGGGAACGACACACGGTGAAAGCAAGGAGAGCTGCTGGGCAGGGAGGGAGGGAAATGAGAAAAMCATCAGGGAGATTCAAGATTCCCACAAAGAGAAGAAATGGGACGTGCTTCCGAGTATTTGTTCTACAGTTGAGGAGCGCCACAGACATGGCTGGAAAGCTGCTTTCATTACAGCCTGGCTTTCCCTTCACATACAATGGCAAAGACTTTATTAAAAATTATGAGCTGACTTTGCCCAGAGAAGCAGTGAATAAATGGCTTTTCCTCTTCGTTTATTTCTCCGCTTTCATTTAAGACACCAAAAGCAAAAAAAAAAAAAAAAAAA